CATTTATGAATGAATGTGAAATAAAGACCTTCCATAATAAAGAGAAACTGAAAGAATTTGTCACCACTTGTCCAGCCTTATTAAAGATGCTTAAGAATGTGCTACACACAGAAACACAGAAAGAAATCATCATTATGAAAGAATGTGAAGGTGGAAAATCTCCCAGTAAAAGTACAAAGGAAATAGAAAGTAAACAACAGGAATATTAATGGAAAAATGGCAGGGCCACGTCATAAGTTATCAATAGTAACCTTGAATGTAAATGGCCAATAAATGTAAATGGCCAATAAAAAGATACAAAACAGCTGAATGGATTTAAAAAAAAGACCCATCGATTTTATGCCTATGAGAAATATACTTCACCAACAAAGATACACGCAGACTCTAAGTGAAAGGATGGAAAAAGAGATTCCATGTTAATGGAAAGCAGAGAAGAGCTGGTGTAGCCATCCTAATATCAGACAGAATAGACTAACACAAAAACTTAAAAGAAAGAAGGGCACTATGTAATGATTAAGGGATCAATTCAACACAAAGATATGACTATAATAAATGTATATGTACCCAATCCCTGGAGGCATTATTCATTAAAACAAATGTTAATGGATCTAAAAGGAGACATAGACTCCAATTCAATAGTAATGGGGGGGGGCAGTGCTGTGGTGTAGTGGGTAAAGCCGCCGCCTGTAGTGTCAGCATCCCATATGGGTGCTGGTTCCAGTCCTGGCTGCTCCACTTCCAATCTGGCTCTCTGCTACTGCCTAGGAAAGAAGTAGAAGATGGCCCAAGTGCTTGGGCCCCACATGGGAGACACAGAAGAAGTTCCTGGCTTGTGGCTTCGGATCAGAGCATCTCCGGCAATTGCGGCCAAGTGAGGAGTAAACCAGCAGATAGAAGACCTTTCTCTCTCTCTGCCTCTCCTTCTCTCTGTGTGTAACTTTGACCTTCAAATAAATAAATCTTTTAATAAAAATAGTAATGAGGGACTTCAACACCCCACTTTAATTAATGGAAAGATCAACCAGACAGAAAATCAACAACAAAGAAACAACAGAGCTAACTGACACTATGAACCAAATGAACCTAACTGATATCTAAACATCTTTTCATCCTGCAGCTTTAGAATACACCTTTTTTTCATTAGTGTATGGAACTTTCTCAGGGTAGAAACCATGCATCGTCTCTGACCACAATGAAATGAAGCAGAAACTAACAACACATATTCAAACACATGGAAGCTGAACAACATGCTCCCAAATGAACAATGGTTCATAAAAGAAGCCAAAAGAGAAATCAGAAAATTTTTGGAAATGATTGAAGGCAACAAAACAACATATCAATATTATGGGATATAGGAAAAGCAGTGGTAAGAGGGATGGAAAGTTACCAAATAAAAGAGCTATCAATGCATCTCAAAGACCTAGGAAAGCAAAAAGGAACCAAATCCAAAATTAGTAGGAGGAAATAAAAATTAGACAAGATATAAACAAAATTGAAACAAAAAATTAACAAATTATAGTGAAATGAAGAGTTTTTTTGAAAAAATAAACAAAATTGATACACCATTGGTTGAACTAACCAAAAGAAAAAAAAGAGAAAACACAAAACAATAAATTCAGAGATAAAAATATAAATGCAAAAATAAGTTTGACAGAAATAGAATCAAGAGTTACTACAAAGAGCTGTATGCCAACAATTTTGAAAACCTGGAAAAAAATGTATAGAATCCTAAACACATAAAATCTACCAAAATTGAGTCATCAAGACATAGAAAACTGGGGCCAGAACTGTGGCACAGCAGGCCTGAAGCACTGGCATCCCATATGGGCGCTGGTTCAAGACCTGGTTGTTCCACTTCCAATCCAGCTCCCTGCTAAGGCCTGGGAAAGCAGTAGAGGATGGTGCAAGTTCTTGGGGCCCCTGCACCCACATGGGAGATGCGGAAGAAACTCCTGGCTCCTGGCTTCAGATCTGAGCAGCTCCAGCCATGCGGCCATCTGGGGAGTGAACCAGCGGATGGAAGACTACTCTCTCTCTCTCTGCCTCTCCTTCTCTCTCTGTGTAACTCTGACTTTCAAACAAATAAATAAATCTTTAAAAAAAATAACCAAGACAGAGATTGAATAAGTAATAGAGACCCTCCCAACAAAGAAAAGATCAGGACTGGATGGCTTCACTGCTAATTCTACCAGATATTTAAAGAATAACTAATTCCAATTCTTCTCAATTTATTAAAAATAACTGAAAGGGAGGTAATCCTCCAAAACTCCTTCTATATAGCATACTTCGGCTGGCGCTGCGGCTCACTTGGCTAGTCCTCCACCTGCAGCACCAGCAGCCCAGGTTCTAGTCCCAGTTGGGGCACCAGATTCTGTCCCGGTTGCTCCTCTTCCAGTCCAGCACTCTACTGTGGCCCGGGAAGGTAGTGGAGGATAGCGCAAGTTCTTGGGCCCTGCACCCACATGGGAGACCAGGAGGAGATGACTGGCTTATGGCTTCGGATTGGGGTAGTGTGCCGGCCACAGCGCACCAGCCATAGTGGCCATTTTGGGAGTGAACCAACGCAAAAAGGAAGACCTTTCTCTCTCTCTCTCTCTCTCTCTCTCTCACTGTCTAACTCTGCCTGTCAAAAAAAAAAAAAAAAAAGATAGCATACCCTAATTCCTAAGCCAGAAAAAGATACAACAGAGAAGGAAAACTATAGACCAAATCCCTGATGAACATATTTGCAAAAATCCTCAACAAAATACTAGCTAATCGAATCTAACAACACACTAGAAAGAACATTCAATGGAACAAGTGGAACTTATAGATTAGTATGTATAAAGAGCTCAAGATTCAACAACAAACAACAATCCAGTTAAGAAATGGGCAATGGTCTTGAACAGGCATTTTTCAAAAGAGAAAATTCAAATGGCCAACAGACACATGAAAAAGTGCTCAGGATCACTAGCTATCAGGGAAATGCAAATCAAAACCACAATTAGGTTTCACCTCACCCCAGTTAGAATGGCTTTCATAAAGAAACCAACAAAAAACAAATGCTGGCAAGGATGTGGGGGAAAAGGTACCCTAATCCACTGTTGGTGGGAATGTAAACAGGTACAGCCACTGTGGAAGACAGTATAGAGATACCTCAGAAACCTGAAAACAGACTTACCATATGATTTAGCCATCCCACTCCTGGAAATTAACCCAAGGGAAATTAAATCAGCATATGAAAGAGTTCTATATAGAAGTTCACTTATATAGAAGATCAACGGGCTGGCAGGAGAAAGCTGAATGACTTCAGTGATTCAAGGCTTCGGTTTTACATTTAAAATATTAATAGGAAGAAAGGATAACCTTGTTTCTGGGTCAAGTCAATTTTTATCCTTAAAAGTCTCTGCTATTTCCAAGTTAATCATTTTCTGTTGTCTGTCCATGAATTAAAAGCAAAAAAGAACAAACAGCTTTGAACTCATCCTTCAAAGGAAACAGTGGGCATTCACAATTGAATTCCATCATTACCCCCAAGCCTTACTTTATTCAGTGACTTGAATATTCAGTGACTTATTTAAATTGTTACCTGGCTGATGTTAATCTTACCCCTTCTTTGAGAGCTTGGGGCTGAGACACGGTGAAATCACTCAAAAGAAGACTTTGAAAGGGGATCCGTGCACAGATCTTAACAAATCACAAACTGAATAAAGAAATACTTACTGAAAATCCAAGTCTAAATTGCAGAGATTTTCTGAAAAAGAAATCTAAGCCGATTTGCTATAATTAGTGTCACTGGTCTGGCTTTCAGACTTAATGCACCAGGCTGCCACACCCCATTCTGCCAGCATTTATTACATTTTGTTCCTGTGTCCCACCGCAGTTTGTTTTCTTGCATTCCCGTCTGCAATTCTTAAGGTGAAGATTGTACCTGGGACTTCAGAATAAACATAAAACTATTTGTGGCACTTCAGTTTCTTGGGTTCGCTTTTCTTATTAGTTGGCACACACTTTGATGAGTACAATAGATTTCAGGCAAGGAAAAGGCTTATTGGATGTAGGAAAGCCTTATACAATTAGATACACTGACATAAGAGCAACTGTGGACCCCAAATGAAGCAATCAGTCTGCAACGAAATGGACAAACGTTTTTTAGACAATTCTGATCAAATTCCACTCCTGTCCCAAGAATTTCTTTGTTCTTTGCAGCTAAGGAGACCATGTACATCACCACAAGTGCTTTTGAAACAACTGTTAGGTTGGTCAGTGAGAGGATTTAAGAGGATTTTCAGCAATAGTTTTAAGTGTCTTAATAATTGTAGTATATTATCTGAGATGATTTTACACTATTTAAATATCAAGTCAACTAATAAATTCACATTCAGAAAATTAGTGAGACTAACAACTGTAAATAATTAGTTAAAATGAAATAAGCCAGCTCAGAAAGACAATTATCATTCTTTCTCTTTTAACTGTAAAGGTAATACAGAGAGAATATAAAAGTTGTGTGAATGTCATAACATTTTGCATACAGTTATCAACACTGCTTCACTGAATCATGTGATGTATTTGACAATACACCCTCCTTTCCCCACATAATCACGAATTCTTCACCTTGTTATGAATATCTATGTCAAGGAAAAAAGAGTATATATATGAAGTAAATGTGGCAAAAGATTAAAAACTTTAATTTTAAAGCCAAAAATAATAAACTTATAAAGAAAATTTTAAAAAAGAAAACGTGTTTGGTTAAAAATATCTATAGTGTGGTGTCTTCTCTGAAATGAAAGGGTAAATAAGAAAATTCATAGGTATCTTTATTTTTGAAATAAGAAACTTAGGAAGATCTCTTTCTTACTCTCTTGCCCTCTCCCCCGGCCCCCACCTCGGGGCCATCGGGCTTCCCCTACCTGACAATAAAGCTTTATCTTAACTCTGGTGTTTGGTATGTTTTATGGTGGCCTTATATTGGTGCCATGACTCAAATCCTGGCTCTCCTGTCAACCTTGCTCTCCCCCCAGGATCTGAGCTGCTTTGGGATCCTGGATTTCTGCCAGCCACAGAACACATCCAGCACCTCCTTCCACGCCACAGAACACTCTGTGATCTCCATCCACACACTGGCCTTTCAAATTCCTGAGGTAAGACAGGGTGGGCAGAGGATCATTTCAGTGTGACTTTCTATGGGTTGTGGTTCTACTCGACTCTGCACCGAAATCCTGGTACCAGCCACCATAACTCCCATGGCTTCATGCCTCTACAGACTCTGTGTCTGGCCAACAGTGGGTGTGGGTGACAACTCAACCCCATTTCCCTTCTATGGGCTAAGCCCTGAGCTCCAGTGGGTACACAGGTGACAACCTCAACCCTCTGTTCCTATATCCTCCCATCAGACAGCTGTGATCTCGGGGACACCCAATATCCACCAGTCTGACTCTACAGGTTGCCATGGGAGCTTCTTCCACGTTCTGTCTGATCCTCCTCTCGGTTGTCTCCTACATTGACAACCAGTCCACATTTGACCCTGACACTATTCAAGATCTTTATCACTTCTGTGAGCCTTCAAGAAAGTGGAAAAAAATCTCCTATGTCTAAGCTTTCTCCTACCTCAGCTCTAAACCTTTTCCAGTTCAAGTTCTCTTACAAAGTTCTCACTAAAATGCCAAACCACTTTCTTCTACGTTCGATGCTCCGGCTCTCACTGTCTTGCTGTACCTCCCCTTCCTGCCCGGGCATTCCAACCTTATCTTAGAGCCATCTCTTGTCCAAAGTCTACTTCCTCTGCCTTATCTATGATCCTCTCTAACACCCTCCTTCCAGAGAACCAAAGCCAAGTTTGGGAGCCAGCCGTCTCCATGCCATCATCCTCTGGCCCTCATTCTCCAACTGGCCTTTGCCCCTCCCTCTCCTTTTCCAGTTTTACTATAAGAAAAAAGCAAAGGGTGGCGATTCCATCCTCATGAGCTCTCAAGTCACCTATCCCAGACTTCTGATGGCTATTTTGTTTTATCATGAGCAAGCCAGACAGGATAATCAGGTCTTTTGATGGGTTTTGTCCCCACCTTGAAACTGAATATCAAGCTGACCTCACCAGGTCTCCTCAATTCCTACAAACTTGATTTCTTGGTCCTATTAGCAAGCATTTCCTATATATTTCTTCCATCCTATGTGAAGTAATGTTCAAGGCTACTGGCCTTTTAAACAGCAGGCTCACCAGGTCAATTACTATTTCCAGACATATCTCCTTTTCTCTAATTGCCCCTTACTCTGTCACCTATAAGATTCTCCTTAAAAATCTCTCTCCAAGCATAGGGGTGTCCATCTACTCTGATGGATACTCCCCCCCCCCCATAAAACCTAACATAATGGTGAACAATCTCCAGTGGCCTTCTTGTCCCTGGCGTGTCAGCCCCTAGTCCACAGTCACTGTGGGAACTGTCTGGCAGCTGCCTGAACTTTTACTTCACAGACAATCCTAAGTGGCTGACTGTTGACTAGGGCATCATTGACCTAAGGTGTTCCTTGGGTAAAAAGAAAAGTAGACTCAAATTCAATTAGAATTTAAAAAGATATCTGTGGTAAGTAACAATCTCATGCATGAAAATTTGGCTCAGTTGTAACTGAACACTGGGTTTGAAGAAATTTCTCTCTGAATCTAGGAAGATCACTGTCTTTAAAAATATTGCTTTGTAACTTACCAAACTTGTTTTGCAATTTAACAGGTTTCCAATGATATAGAAATGAGTAATCAGTACTTGATGAAACAGCAATGCATAATCAATACTTGTTATAGCCCCTAAGGTGGATTTTGCAGTCTCTGGTTTAATGTCACTGATTTATAGATAGAGTTTTATAAAAGGAGTAGAATTCCATATAAATGTAATTTTGACCATAATTCAGATAGAGGTATAATAGCAGCTTCAGTCATCCAGCTGTAATTGCTAAATGTAAATTGGGTAAAGCAAATGAGACAAACGTGTCTAAATGTAAACTTTGGGACTCTTAGCACCTTATATTCTATGAAAAAAACTGAGTTTGCTAACATGTTTTCATAAAAGGTCCATATGAAAATAGTTCAACACCACTTGAAAGAAACTAAGGTTGGAATTCGATGTGTTATTTAGAAAATGTTGTCTTAATTTGAAGATTTCTAAAGGGTTATTTCAAATATAAATCAAGGAAAGCAAAAGCTATTAGTCTATTTGATATAGAACTAGAATCTGAGTTATGGTTTGTTTGAAGATACACTTATTCTAAAGCATCTGAGTTAATCACCTTGTAACAGTGATCAAATCTGGTCTGTATTATGTCTCTATCAGATTTTTAAGCCTTCTTGGCATCCTTGACAGGCATTCAAAAAAATCAAAGTTCCAACGAATTTGGACTTTGATATTTCCAGGTGGGCCCCTGGAGATATCAAAGGATATGTCTCTCATCTTGCAGAAACACCAACTAATCAGGCTATTTGGATTATATTACAGGTACTGTCAAGATGTAAAGTGGTGCTAAATTTTAAGTTATGGTAATATAAAGTGCTACTGATACAAATGTCCAAAAGTTAAAAAGTCTAATGATCTTGACATGATGGCTATCTTAATGAGAAAGGCCCAGAGGCCTAAAAGGGATAAATGGTTTGTAAAATCCTACAATTGTTTTCAAAAATACTGTGTGAAGTAAGCAAGTGCCTCTTGTTGGTTAATGAGTTTATAATTTTAAACATGGCTATTTAAAGTCTTTTATCATCCACAGTTTTGTATACCAGACTTGCTGCTCATAAAACTAAAACATTGTTGGTTCTGTGTTTAGCTACATCCTCCTACAGGTTCTGATGGAATTTTCTAGCCACTTCTATTGTGTTTAGTACTTTGGGATGGCTCTGTAAGCAGATGAAGCCAATAATGCACTACAGGTTCCAATTGAGAGAAAGTATGGTTAATTGAGGTTGTTAAGAGCAGAAAGTAAAGCTGGCGCCGCGGCTCACTAGGCTAATCCTCCGCCTAGTGGTGCCGGCACACCGGGTTCTAGTCCCGGTCGGGGCGCCGGATTCTGTCCCGGTTGCCCCTCTGCTGTGGCCAGGGAGTGCAGTGGAGGATGGCCCAGGTGCTTGGGCCCTGCACCCCATGGGAGACCAGGAAAAGCACCTGGCTCCTGGCTCCTGCCATCGGATCAGCACAGTGCGCTGGCCGCAGCGGCCATTGGAGGGTGAACCAACGGCAAAAGGAAGACCTTTCTCTCTGTCTCTCTCTCTCACTGTCCACTCTGCCTGTCAAAAAAAAAAAAAAAAAAGCAGAAAGTAATATGATTCAATTGGTAATTTAAAAAACAGTTAAAGATTTTAAGCAGTTATTACTGAAACTGTTTTATTGTTACATCTTGTGTGTTATGTTATACATGTATATACATGATATGTCTATATAGGAAAATTTATTAAGAATTCTGTTTTAGTTAGCTTACAGATAAAGATTGCTTACAAATTTAAAGATATCTAGACCTAGATGAATTATCTGTGTCTAAATTTGTTGGTAGAAAGAAATTAAAAATGCTTTTACATGTTTGTGCTTGAGTTTGCTGGTCAAACAAGTTACACTTGCTAGATATTTAAGAGATGTTTCCAAATACATGTATTCTTGTCTTAAAATTTATAGAAGGCATTGGATCTGATAAGTTGTTATGGTTGAAATTGGTTGCTATGTTTTTATGTGATATTGTTATTGTCAGTACGCAATCTGGGAAGCCTGACTTGTTCCCTCACTTCTCTATTCTATTCAAGATGGGAAACTGACTCTATACTGAAGGACTCTCCAGAATGTGCAGTTTGATCTTTAGGTTTATAAAGTGGATGGTTAACATTTTTCTGTAGTAAAGCATAGCCAAGATGAGAGCTTAAATTATGATTTCACAGCTAGATTTACTTTGCCATGGGCACAGTACACAGGCAAAACCTCCCCTTCAGACCAAAGGAAGGGAGAGAAAGTTTTACTAATGACTTCAACTTTTGTATATAAGATGGTCATCATGTTTGATGTTAAAGTGAGAATATAGCTTTCCTCATGGGCATTGTGTACATCACAGAAAAAACACTATCAAAACATGCCTGTGACTACAGACTTCTAGTTTAGGCCTTCAAAGATTAAAGAAGGGGCTGAGCAACCCCTTGATTTGCATCCTCTTAAAGGTTTCTGCAGGGGGCTCCAATCAAAAAGGAAACAAAGTTGCTAAGCCTTCTCTCCACAAGGCCGCTAAGCCTTTTCTAGTTTGCCTTACTTCCGCATCCCGGTGACTCAGCATTTCCAACAATCCAAGATGGCCCCCAGGGGAGGTACCTAGCCTGACAGGAGACTTCCATATTCGTGAACAGTATGTGTCCTCAGCTGTGATAGGCCCATGAAGGCGTGCCCAGCTCGTGTCCTGCCTTACCTTTCTGCTGGTTGGCTCGGTTCCCTTGTGCCCTGGACAGCCCCCTCTCTGTGTCTATAAAAGCTCTTCCCCTCCCAATAAAGTCGAGAATCCGGCTGCACCTTGAGTGTTGACTGATCTCCCGGCTGTGGTGTGGTTCCTTTGCGGCCGACACTCATCATCTGGCTCGGCCCCTGAGCTCCCCAGGCTGGCCCTGAGGAGCTCTATCGGACCTGCTGCCCCGTGACGAGCAGCAGGTTTCCTCTGGTCTGCTTTAACAAAAACCAGGAAGAAGAGAAGGCGAGGTATCAGAAGCAATTTAAAGAAAGATGGCAGGCCAATTAATGGCTGCTTTGCACAGTGATCTGCCATCAAGGAACCCAACAGGCCAGTCCACTGCAGTGGCTTTCGTCGTGGAAGGCCAGGGCTTTAGCAGAAGTCAGCTTATGAAGAGCCCTGGCAGCTCAGCCAGCGAAGAGTTGAACCATTGGAAACAGAACTGCCCTGGAGTCGAAGGACGCCCAGGTCAGAGCCACAGATCTTGTTGGCTCTAAACTGAAAGCCCCTTCACTCTGCCCAGCTTCCAAAGTAACCACCGCTACGGAGGAGATGGCCAAGTAGGGTTAGCAACATTACAAGTAGAGCTGCAAATTTCCTGTTAGAGATGCCACCTGCCTTTACCAGGCCAAGCTCTCCTCCCAGGCCAGACGCTGTGGTAGCGTGGGGGACACTCACCTCAGAAGCCCTGAGGCGCTCAGCGTGGGAAGCGGGTGCGCGTGCTCTGCGCCTGCGCGGCAGCCCACCTTGACCCCAGATTGGCTGAGGGCTCAGTTACATCACGTCCTTCTCTGCTCACAAAACCCAGCGCTGTCATGCTGTCCTCTCCCCTCTCAATTTTGGGCCCAGGAGCCGGTACCAAGAGGAGCAGCCACGGAGGGAAGCGGAAGCTCCTGTGCCGGCTGACTTACGTAACTGCGTTCTTGGTTACTTTCTAAATGCTGCCGTGCAGGCCTGGAGTCTGTGGCCCACTACTGCTGCTGGTGAGTTTCAAGCTGGGTCAGTTGGAACCTTGGCCGGTACCAGTTGGCCACTCCCCCTAAGGGACGTGTTTCTGGGCTTTTCTATCGCCTTAGATGGAAATTGCACAGCAACGTGTCCTGCCCTTGGACCATCTGTTCTGGCCTACAAGGATGAGAACGCCAGGAGAGGGCAGCATGTGTTGGGGTACTGCAATGGTGTTGTGCTGTTGACACCCACCGGGGTACTCAGATAAAGACACTGCATTTGAATTTTGAATCAAAAATAGTGGGTTGCCTGGATAATTCACTGCTGCTAAATGCGTTTTGTTTATGGTTTATGGTTTTGTTTATTGGAATCTTCATCCTGGATAGATAAGGAAGATTATATCCATTGTCCAGCCTGGCATCTGGCACCTAGAGAATGCTTAGTATGGGTCTAAATGACTTCATAATATCCTGCACAGGGGCCAGCGCTGTGGCACAGTGGGTTAACGCCCTGGCCTGAAGTGCCAGTATCCCATATGGGCACCGGTTCTAGTCTGACTGCTCCACTTCCAATCCAGCTCTCTGCTATGGCCTGGGAAAGCAGTAGAAGATGGCCCAAGTCTTTGGGCCCCTGCACCCGCATGGGAGACCTGGAAGAAGCTCCTGGCTCCTGGCTTCAGATCGGCACAGCTCTGGCCATTGCGGCCAATTGGGGAGGGAACCAGTGAATGGAAGACCTCTCCCTCTCCCTCTCCCTCTCCTCTGCGTGTGTAACTCTGACTTTCAATTAAATAAATAAATCTTTAAGAAAAAAATATTCTGCACAATTCTGCTAGAACTGGAGTGCTCATTCCCCCTTCACCCGTAAATCTGGAAGCATTTTGGCCTGTGATGATACTGCCATCATTCTTTACAATGACACCTTGTAAAGAAATTCTGTGTTATTATAGTCCTGAGGATCCCAAAATTTTAATGCCAAGCAATAAAACAATAAGAAAATTATGGTTATGTGTTAATTTTTACTCTGTATTCATAGGCTCTATCATTTCTTCTATTTTTTTTTTCCTATCTCTTCCAACCAAAAACAAATCCTGTCAGGAAAAGTAGGAAGGTGGCCGGCACCGCGGCTCAATAGGCTAACCCTATGCCTGCGGCGCCGGCACACCAGGTTCTAGTCCTGGTCAGGGTGCCGGATTCTGTCCCCATTGCCCCTCTTCCAGGCCAGCTCTCTGCTGTGGCCAGGGAGTGCAGTGGAGGATGGCCCAAGTCCTTGGGCCCTGTACCCCATGGGAGACCAGGAGAAGCACCTGGCTCCTGCCTTCGCATCAGCACAGTGCGCCGGCCGCAGCACACCGGCCGTGGCAGCCATTGGAGGGTAAACCAACAGCAAAAGGAAGACCTTTCTCTCTGTCTCTCTCTCTCACTGTCCACTCTGCCTGTCAAAAATAAATAAATAAAAATAAATAAATAAAAAAGTAGGAAGGAATACTTCCTTTTGAGCAGACAGGCACACCTAGCAAGGAAAGCCAAAATAATACACAGTCAACAGCGTATTGGGAGAGTGTGAATTCAATCTTTTTAATGATTCACAGAAATGATATGGATCTAATTTTACTTGAGGTAATTGTTTTCAGATACCCAGTGCTCAGCAGATGAGGATGAAGGCCAATTATCTGGACTGATCAGAAATCTAGATTCTCCATCTTTGTCCCTGTGTGTAAGTACAGGCCTTGACTGGACACTGGGAAATGGTAATACCACAATAACACCTTACTGTGAATCTTCTGGGAATTTTTCACATAATTGCAGTTAACTTTCGCTAAGCAGGAGTTGAGCCTGTAGAGTAGTCCCTAGAATGTGGTAAATCCCCCCAAAATGTTATTATTAAAGCATCAAGTTTTGAGCCATTTTATCCATTTCACTGGAGGTGTCTCTAAAATCGTCAGCTCCCAGCCAACCCAGTGGAACTGACTGCACTGCCTTTAGCATGTCTGTGACGACAGGATTATCAGTGGCGGCAGCAGAGTGTTACACGGAAATCTGTTAAGGACTCTCACACAGATATGTCTCTTTGTCCTCTAAGCAACTCCAACCATTAAGTTAGTACTCAACTCTGCTGTTTATACACTTTTCTCTTACTCCCATTATGATTACGAACTTCTGTTTCCAACGTCCTGTGGCACCAGAAATAGAGATCCAAGGTTGAGAGAATGCAAGTCCTCAAAGTAGGCTTTGGGTGAAAGCCTGGCCTGCCTGGACGTGTGGATCCTGAATATTGTGGGGCTCATTTTGACAGCCCAGTGGCCCTTTAGGCTGGAATCGTGGTGTGTTCCACATGTGGTTAAGTAAATTCCGGATGAAAGAAGTAGTATTAGAATTAGATATGGATAGCCTCCTTACCCCCTCCACATATACTTGGTATGCTGACATTTTCAACAAGCACCACGTGTCTGCAGGCTTAAGAGAAAGGCACACGTAAAGTCTATGCAGCAACATTAGGTTTTAAAATGTGAGCTTCCTCTTTCTTCTGTGGATGCTTAAACCACCCTAAACATCACTGTTAGACAATGCAGCTATGCCCTTTTCCTTGTGTTCATTTTGTCTGTAAAGTATTAAAATAATTTACCTAGGTCAGACTTATGTAAGTTTGTGAATATATTAATTCCCACAAAAGGCTTCCAAATAGATGTGTCATTAGTATCACTGTGATGTCACACAACAAAAAGGACCAAGGGTGTCCGTTATTACACAGTGGGTTAAGATGCTGTTGGGACACTCACATCCTGTATCACATTGCTGTTTTGAGTCCGAGGTACTCAGCTTCTGATACAGATTCCTGCTGATGCATCCTGGGAGGCAACAGAAGATGGCTGAAGTTTGGGGCCTCCGCAACCAGATGGAAGAGCAGAAGGGAATTCTGGGCTCTTGACTTCAGCCTGCCCCAGCTACCCTTTCCATCAGCAGATAGATCATTCTCCCTTTCATCTCTCAAATAGATGAAAATAAATTTTAAAACTTTAAAAAAAAATCCATAGTAACTTAAAAAACAAAAAGGACCCAATTTTAGGACTGTCATTTGAGCACAGTGGTTAAGACACTGCTTGTGATGCCTACATCCCATATCCAAGAGCCTGGTTTCAGGTCTAGTCTCTGCTTCTTACTCCAGATTCCTGCTAAGGTGCACCCTGGAAGGCAGTAAATGATGGCTCAAATACCTGGGTCAATTCCACTCATTTGGGAGACTCAGATTGTGTTCCAGGCTCCTGGCTCTAGCCTAACCCAGGCTGTTGCTGGCATTTGAGGGAATGAACCAGCAGATTGAAGATTCTCTGTCTGTCTCACTACCACCACCCCCAGCTGCTTTGCCTCTCAAGTAAATAAAAATAAATTTAAAAATACTTATTAGGGGCCAGAATTGTTGCACAACAGGTTAAGAAGGCACTTGCAACACTGGCATTCTTTATCAGAGTGCTGGTTCAAGTACTGGCTGCTCAGCTTCTGATCCAACTTCCTGGGAAGGAAGCAGATGTTGTCCCAAGTGCTTGGGTACCTGGCAACAATGTAGGGGATCAGGATGGAGTTCCTGGTTTCAGCCTGGCCCAGACCTGGCTGTTGCAGCCATTTATGGAATGAACTAGTAGATGTAAAATCTCTCTCTCCTCTCTGTCTCTCCCACTTTCACTGTGGTTCTGTCTTTAAAATACATAAAAGCCAGGATTCAGGAACTCCATCCTGATTTCCCACATGGGTGGCAGGGGCTCAATCACTTGGGCCATCTTCTGCTGCCTTTCTAGGCCCATTAACAGGGAGCTAGACAGGAAGTGGACCAGCCAAGACTTGAACTGACAGTCCAACATGCGATGTCAGCATCCCAAGTGGTGGCTTAACCTGCTGCACTACAATGCCAGGCCCTCCATTTTTTCAAAACCACCTATGAATTTTTTTAATAAAGGACAAAATTTTAAGGACAAGTGTTGGGTTCCTGCATCCAGTGCCTGGGTTTCAGTCCTAACTCTGCTTCCTATTCAAGCTTCTTGCTAATACATACGCTGGAAGGTGGCAGATGATGGCTCAAATATTTCAGTCCCTGACACCCATGTGGGAGACCCAGATTAAGTTCCAGGCTCCCGACGTCGCTCTGACCCAGCCCAGGCTATTGCAGGCATTTGGGAAATGAACCAATAGATGGAAGATTTCTCTCTGTCTCTGTTTCTGTCTCAGACTGTCTACTTCAAATAAATGAAATAAAAGAATCACATTTACTTACAATAATATTCTGTTTGCAAGTTTCATACTGGTAATGACACTCATATAAATGGAAGGAAGTGATTAAATGGAGATTTATTTATCTTTCTTACCATTTTGTTTAACTTTTATTTAATGAATATAAATTTCCAAAGTACGACTTATGGATTACAATGCCTTCCCCCCCATACCGTCCCTCCCACCCACAACCCTCCCCTTTCCCACTCCCTCTCCCCTTCCATTCACATCAAGATTCATTTTCGATTATCTTAATATACAGAAGATCAGCTTAGTATACATTAAGTAAGGATTTCAACAGTTTGCTCCCACACAGAAACATAAAGTGAAAAATAATAGATGATTTTTTAAATGATGATGAAATCAGATCAGACCTATTGTCATGTTTAATCCCAGTGAGAGTCAAGTTGGGAATTGATAATTTCTTTCTTTCTTTCTTTCTTCCTTTTTTTTTTTTTTACAGAAGATCAGTTTAGTATGCATTAAGTAAAGATTTCAACAGTTTGCACCCCCATAGAAACACAAAGTGAAATATATTGTTTGAGTACTCGTTATAGCATTAAATCTCAATGTACAGCACATTAAGGACAGAGATCCTACATGAGGAGTAAGTGCACAGTGACTCCTGTTGTTGACTTTGCAAATTGACACTCCTGTTTATGGCATCAGTAATCTCCCTATGCACCAGTCATGAGTTGCCAAGGCTATGGAAGCCCTCTGAGTTCTCCGACTCTTATCTTGTTTAGACAAGGTCATAGTCAAAGTGGAGGTTCTCTCCTCCCTTCAGAGAAAGGTACCTCCTTCTTTGAAGACCTGTTCTTTCCACTGGGATCTCACTCACAGAGATCTTTTTGCCAGAGTGTCTTGGCTTTCCATGCCTGAAATACTCTCATGGGCTTTTCAGCCAGATCGGAATGCCTTTAGGGCTGATTCTGAGGCCAGAGTGCTGTTTAGGACATCCGCCATTCTATGAGTCTGCTGAGTATCTCGCTTCCCATGTTGGATCACTCTGCCCTTTATTTATTCTATCGGTTAGTGTTAGCAGGTACTAGACTTGTTGATGTGCTCCCTTTGACTCTTAGTCCTTTCATTATGATCAATTGTGAACTGAAATTGATCACTTGGAATAGTGAGATGGCATTGGTACATGCCACCTTGATGGGATTGAATTGGAATCCCCTGGTATGTTTCTGACTCTACCATTTGGGGCAAGTCAGCTTGAGCATGTCCCAAATTATACATCTCTTCCCTCTCTTATTCCCACTCTTATGTTTAACAGGGATCACATTTCAGTTAATTTTCAACACTTAAGAATAACTGTGTGATAATTACAGAATTAAACCAGTCATATTAAGTAGAACAGATAAAAAAATACTAAGAGGGATAATGTATTAAGTTGTTCATTAATAGTCAGGGCTATGCTGATCAAGTCACCGTTTCTCATAGTGTCCATTTCACTTCAGGGGGTTTCCTTTTTGGTGTTCAGTCAGTTGTCACTGATCAGGGCGAACATATGGTATTTGTCCCTTTGGGACTGGCTTACTTCACTCAGCATGATGTGTTCCAGATTCCTCCATTTTGTTGCAAATGACTGGATTTCATTGTTTCTTACTGCGGTATAGTATTCTAAAGAGTACATATCCCATAATTTCTTGACCCAGTCTACCGTTGATGGGCATTTAGGTTGGTTCCAGGTCTTGGCTATTGTGAATTGTGCTGCGATAAACATTAGGGTGCAGACCGCTTTTTTGTTTGCCAATTTCATTTCCTTTGGGTAAATTCCAAGGAGTGGGATGGCTGGGTCGAACAGTAGGGTTATCTTCAGGTTTCTGAGGAATCTCCAGACTGACTTCCATAGTGGCTTGACCAGTTTGCATTCCCACCAACAGTGGGTTAGTGTCCCTTTTTCCCCACATCCTCGCCAGCATCTGTTGTTGGTAGATTTCTGCATGTGAGCCATTCTAACCGGGGTGAGGTGAAACCTCATTGTGGTTTTGATTTGCATTTCCCTGATTGCTAGTGAACATTTTTTCATGTGCCTGTTGGCCATTTGGATTTCCTCTTTTGAAAAATGTCTATTGAGGTCCTTGGCCCATCTCTTAAGTGGGTTGTTTGTTTTGTTTTTGTGGAGTTTTTTGATCTCTTTGTAGATTCTGGTTATTAACCCTTTATCTGTTGCATAGTTTGCAAATATTTTTTCCCATTCTGTCAGTTGTCTCTTCACTCTCCTGACTGTTTCTTTTGCAGTACAGAAACTTCTCAATTTGATGCAATCCCAATAGTTGATTTTGGCTTTGACTGCCTGTGCCTCCCGGGTCTTTTCCAGAAATTCT